AATGTTATGCATGCATCCACGTTTCCCAATCATTCAATCTTCAGAGATAAACATAAATTATACATACAAAATTGAGATGATCAAGCTGCAATCATCACACATGATATCATCCATAAAAGAGAAGAAATACGAGAGATACTTCAAAGAAAGGAGGGATCCACACAACTATACAAAAGTCCGAAATTACAAAGGCAAAAATGGCGAAAGTCGAAACCAAAATTTCTAGAAGATAATCCTCCTCCTTGCTCTGATGCACAGTCCGTCGCCTCGCACCTACTAACAACCCAGAGTTGTTATCCCCCTTAGACCATGTATGCACGCCGGGTTTGTCCGTGCTCTACAGTTTGTCACGCCCACATGTCGACCCCACACACTCGCCACCAGCTCGTCGGATCGCCCAACTCCGAACTCACCTCTTTGCATACTCACACTCGTTAGGTGATCCTCCCGACCGGGCTAACTCTCCCAAATTTAAATTAGAGAGCGATGTAGTCGCACTTGTGAAATTTATAGCAAGTAGCATTTGTGTGAGAGAGTCGGCATTACGCTAAGGCAGGGAGAAAGGAAGGAGGTGCCTACGGTCAGCATGCTTGGGCCGCAGCGAGGGGACCATAGCCACTCTCCACGCATCAATCCAGTCATGTACCACTCTGGCCAGTGAGACGAAGCGGAAGGGCCCGCATGTTTCGGCGCGAAGAGAAGCCAATAAGGAGAAGATTACAATTACACTCACATTCGCCGAGAAAGGAACAAGAGGAAATTACAGTTGAGATTAGAATCAAGGCGCGGCGGGAATAGAGTGCAGGACATAGCGCATCAAAGCACACGCGAGTAAGGAGCATCATGCAGTTACAAAAAAAAGTACGATGCCCCCCAAATCCTAGTCTAATTAGAGTCCTAATTCCGAATACCTGCGAGGTCTCCCGCATTCTTTCCAAGGAGTTCAAAAATTCAAAAAGATTCCGCAATGCGATGATCATGCCAAAGCTCCTTCCCAAAAAAAAAAAAAAAAAGCTGCATCAACCGTTATTCCAGCGCTCACTAAGTTGGGTCCTGACCACCAATAGTCGTGGGACCAACCTCTTGCAAAACGGAGGAAGAAAAGGAATGGGGGCATTCATGCAATTGACCCTGAGGCCCATCTGACCATCCAAGGTTCACGCAGGACGTTGCGCCTGTCAGAAGATAGATCGTCACAAAGACTACTCCAACAATAATGCACCAACCTCCCCTGCTAAGGGTCCGAAAAAACTGGAAAAGTCTTCCACGCCGGCCCACAAAATATACATTCCCCCCCAAAAGAACTGGTGGCCACCTTTAAACATCCCAACAACCCATGCTTTGTGTGTGTGTGCGTTCACTATACACAACTCAACAGAAAAAACATATGATTGTACCTGACTGCTTCATCTGACTTCACTGACTGATGTACCTTGACTCATGTGACGCACAACCTCACGCCCTGTACTGTCTTTCGTTCGGCGTGTTAGGCGTGCGGAAAAAGGCCCAGAAAAACAGCAAGATGGGGTGTGCCAAGGATTTTTGGAAATTGAGTGCGGGGACACAGATGGAACTGAAATCCCCCGTGTTGGTCCAATGAAGCAAGTCGATTGCTTTCGCGCGTCGCGGGCTGCGCGCGCGGGCACGGCGCAAAAAGAAAAAAATCCAAATTCAATCCAAAAAGTATTGTCGCGCTTCCCACCGAGTTACAGCCTGTCGTTTAGAACAGAAAGGCTTTGGCACACTCCGCGTGTCTCGTTTTCGTATCAAATCTCGTCGTCGTTCGGTGATCAGTTCCGAGTCCGACGTGGATGGTCTCAGCCGCGTGGCTCTTTCTTTATGCTCGTCTTCACTCCGCACACGGTAGTGGAAACCCCTGGATTCGTAGCGCTCAAAACGCTGGCATTCGGTGCATAGAGTGCACGGCCAGTGGGGTTCTACTGCCGTCCACGGGATGACGATGAACTCGTTGAATGGCAATAATATCGAGTAAGGTGGGAAATGCGTATCGATAATGACAAACCCAACCTCTACGAACCCTGAACAGCGGTTGGCCGGAGGAAAGTAGTATCGCCCGCCGATCTGTGCGATAACTTCTCGTACGTCCCACTCACATACACGTGTCCTTCCCTCGTTATACGAAAAAGGCCGTGTTGGGACGGGAGGTACGGGAGGCAGGTGCCCGATCGGAAGGTACTGGTCAGTCCACATATCAATCAATTGTAAAAACCTTGCGACATCATCCAGAAAAGAAAACACTCGCGCAACTCATAAACAATTTCCTTCAACACGAGAGGGAGAGAGAGAAAGAAAGAAGACACTTCAGCAGCTTGATCATGGATATAACTAAGGGAACGATTCGCGGCTCAGGTTTAATGAGCTAGCGCGACGTTGATCCCAGGCGCCTTGTTTCTCGGGGTCGCCTCGTGGTTTGGCTGCTGATGTCGGACAGCATAAGGCAGATGGCATGCGCAATGCACTCAAAGCTACATATCTAAACACTCTTGCATTCTCGGACAAAATCCCGATGATAATCGTTTAATCACTGCCAAAGAGACGCGCATTTCCATACATTCATTCACTGTGGAAGATGCGAAAATGAGCCATGCATAGGAAAAGATGGATTGCTTGCACAGTACACACGCATCCACCGTTCACAAGACAAGAAGACGGGGTCCTTGCGCGGGAGGATTACCCAGGAAACTAATGGAAGAGTTCTGGACGAAGTTCTTTCCCGCAAGGAAAGCATACAGATTCATGCTCATCCAGAGGAGGGAAAGAGAGAGAAGGAGAGAAGCATCGAGACACATCATTATTTAAAGATAGAGGAAAAGGGGACGGAGAGGGGGGGAAGAGTCGAGATAGGAGATGTCGCAACCCAAAAGAAGGAGGTTCAGCGTTGTCAGAGAGAAAGATCCGCAACAACAAAGGCGCATTCGTTGTTAATTCCAATATGGCCCCGGGCCAATAACTCACTCAACTCCAATCACCGATCCTCATAACCGCACCGACGATCCCGACCGCCGCGTGCTAACTCCAACCACTGCGATCGTCACCCCGTTGTCGTAGACTCGACACGGTTCGCCCAGATCCCACAGTCCGTCGTGGCAATCCAGCGCGCAACGGGCCAGCCTATCGTCAGCCCGATAGGACTTTCCGACTCGCACCAAACACTCTGCCTAGCCACTGCTTCCCGGAAGTTGGCTTGAGAGTCGAGAACGTAAGAGAGATTTGCGGACGCGCTTGCGGGTTTTATAGTTGCGACAGGGGAGATAGAAGGGGGAGAAAGCGACGGGAAAGCTGAGGTGTAAGAGGAGAAGCAGGAGGAGAAGACTTTGAGAAGAATGCTCTACGAACGCCATGTTGATCCCTCGAAACTCAAGGTTCAACCAATCAGATTCGCGGCGCAATAGGAAGGTCTTATTGATCCACGCACCTGATTGGTGAGCGAGAGTTATCGATAGATCGACCGGGCGTCGTGTGCCAGACGCAGAGGGTGAGGGGAGAAAAAGGCGCGAGAAGTGGCGCAAGACGGGTCCAAGATTCAGATGATCAAGAAAGGAAAAGGGGCGCGCAGAGAGCAAGKCGGGAGAGGGAGAGAGAGAGAAAGAAAACAGTTACGGGGCGAGAGAAGGAGGAGGGAGAAGGGGAAAGTAGCGCGGGAGGGAGCAATGCGGGGGACAGAGAGGAGAAAGCTTTGCACGCGTGGTGCCGTCAACAAAAAGAGARAAAAAGGCACCGAAACAGTTACAGCCTAATTCAAAATGGAAATCACCATATCCRCGCGCGAAAGAGTGACGYGGGAAAAGAAAATCCTATGYCGATTTGTATTCRCACAAAATTCCGAGAGTTTTCCCCGACGCGACCAAGAACATTCACACACACGAAAAGGACACGTCGATGTTCCGCTTATCCCGGAATTCCCAACTGYCGAGCCCAATTCCCAGTGYGCTCRCTARGGCGCACRTWATTTCCTATGTATTTYYCGAATTGCAGAAAGGAAAAGCARAACCCGGGAGTCGAAAAAGCTTTCCGAAAGATGGGAGCCAAGAACGCGGTACCCAAAATCAAGAAAACGAAACGGGGTTTTTATGGGGTTAGTATGATACAAGCAAAAAAAAGGGTACGAAAGATAGCACGGGTTCGAGAAGTGGTTCGTCACATATGTGACGCGCAGGGGGTTCCGAAATTATGCGATTTCCTGATTGCGTGTCATGGCGGAACAGAGTAATGCATGAGGAACCAAGCGTATCAACAAAAGATCCAGCCAGAGTCCATGTTGACGCCAACTTCAATTGCAATTGTATGTGGCTGGAATCCTCGATGGTCGTCCAGGTGACACCATCATCGTCCGCTGGTTCTCCGTGTGCTCTGCACCCCAGCTGGTTGTTGCCCGTCGAATCAGAGCGTGAGTTGACGTCATTGTCGATGGCATGATCTTTGTGAAGCTTACTGATTCGTGCCGTTTTCCCCCGCTGATTGGATGAAGAGAGGAGAGGGGTAGAAGGGGGGGGTAGTGATGTGATCGGGATCTACCGGCCAATTGAGGCGGTACATGGAGGGGATTTCACGGGGTCGACGGGGAGGAAGTGGGGGTAGGAAGCAATTCATTCCTTCCATCGTCACTGGAAGCTTCTCGTATCGGATGATCCGGTGGAAGTGGGGGAAGTGATCGCTGCTGCGAGTGAGGGAAGCAAGGTAGCCGCTGCGAGTGGGGGAAGTGATCGCCGCTGCGAGTGCGGAAGGAGGAGAGGGTGCAGAAAAGCGCCGCTCGAAAGAACTCGTAGTGGCGGCAGGCGGGGATTGTCCCCGTGGCAACGCAGTAAAACTCTACCACGTTGCATCGCTCCCATGCAGCGCTGAACAGCAGGAGATGCCAGCAGAACGTGGGGGCAGCGGATTGAAGGGAGGCGTGGGGGTGGACGGTGGCGAGTAGGCGGGTAGAATAGAAGTCGCGGAAGAGATGGGGAAGGAAGGGATGGGAAGGGAAGGTGACGAGGGTACGGATCTGCTCGAGGGTGAGGAAATCAAGGGGTCGGCGGGACAGTGTCCGAGGACAAAGGCCTATCGCCCGCATCGGTACGTGGGCGAACTGGGGGACGGGTGGGGCTGGAGGAGGAGGGGGATCGGCTCCGTCTCCGTCGCGCGGTACTTGAGGTGGCGGCTGCAGGGTCGCCATCTTCGGGCTTCGGCGGCTCTGGATCCCTGGTCGGGTCGTTACCGATGCGCAGGCTAGCTTCGCTGGCGAACTCCAGCTGGCGCTTCCCGGTGGCAATTTCTTCGCGCTTTCGCACCTCTATTAGATCTTCCGCCTCGGTTCCCGTACGCATCGCTTCCTCCGGCAAGGCTTCCCACTCAGATCCAGTTTCTTCTTCCTCCTCTTCTCCTTCGCTCAGCTCGCCCTCGCTATGCTCACTATAGCTTCCCTCCTCCGATGTTTCCTCGCCCTCGTCTTCTTCGTCGTCGTCGATCACCACTTCCTCCACCCTTGGATAAAAGGCGTGAGGGATGATATCGTACGGCTTGAGATACTCCTGCCGCGATGGTAGCGTATCCTCGTCTCTGGGTTCTTCCAAGCACGCAGTCCACTGCAGGTACGGATCCAATGATCGCTCGAAAATGTACGGAGCAGGACTGTCGTCACTCTGTAAATAGATGTCGGGCGAGAGATCGTCCGCCAATTGCACGATCGGTGCGATGAGCTCTTGCGCAATCAGCTGGCAGCGCCCCGGCTGTACCGATCTAAAGAGAAAGCCAAGAAGATCGCCCTCCGTGTTAGTCCTCCAAGCTTGGATGATTAGCAGTTCCGGATTTTCGATCCACGCAGAATGCCCGCTGGTTTGCGTCCACGTCACTTGTACTCTGGCCAAGCAGAAAGACAGCTCCTCAAAAGTTTCGCGTCACAGCCGCCAATGTCCAGGATTGATAAGAGGGACCGAAAGAGGCTCGAACGAGAAGGAAAGAGAAGGATGAAGATCGGATTGCCAGAAGGTGGGGAAGAGAGAGGGGAGACCAAAGATAGAAAGAGGAGCGAGAAGATCGGCGTGGTTCATTGGGGATGTGGGAAGGGGACGAGGGTTGAGATTGCAATTGGCCGTCCGCGCGGTGATCGGCGAATATCGCCAAGATCCGATGCAAAGATCGGGATGAGGTTATACCCTTGTCGGGCGAGGACGTGCTGCCACACGTTGGACACTTGCTCCGTCCACTCGCGCAGCGAGGTCAAGATCGTGGTATGCCACTGCGGATTGACCGAGCTGATGTCGCCGCTGAACGCCGCAACCGTGGTGACGTGGCTCGTTCTGGGGCCCGCTCGCCGATGAACTGCGGTTACCTCCGCGAATACTACTGCGTGAGGACTTCCTTCGATTCGAAACGCGGCGGTGACACAGATACCTTCGTCGCAAAAGAATCGCATCAAACGCCGAAGATCCGCATTGAGCCGAGGGTGACAAACTTGTCGAATCTCTGAGATGTGGCCACGTGGTTGCAACAGCTGTGCGTCAAGAACCCGCTTCGTGATAAATCTCATGGCGAGGTGGGAGAGGAGGACGAAGGACAAGAGGGAGAAAGAGGAGAGAGAGTTAGATCGTCGTCGTTCTCCTCGCTTTCCGAGGAAGAAGAGGGAGGAAGATCAGAAGGAGGAAGAAGACGGAGGTAGGAGGTATGCCGGATGATGGGGACAGAGCTATGGCTGGCACTAACCTTAGGAACGATGCGCACCGTGTTGGCGCCGTTGGGTCCGAGCTCGACAACGAGAAAACAGCCAGAAAACTTGGGAGCGAGTTTCCGGTCATGTGCACATTTACGTACCTGCACTAGGTCCCCTAATTTATATTGATGCTGGGGCCCAACATTTCCATTACGAGCCTCGTAGCTACGGACCTGTCTACTGTGGGCCAGTTCAGTCATCCTTTGCCTTTTTCGGGCTAGCTTCGGGATGGCCCGTTCCATTAATTCGGTGTACCTTTTGGCCTTGGCCTTGAGAGCTGCACGCGTGTCTCTACCCCCTGCTTCGGCAATTTCCGAGTTACCCCGATAGTCGACACAGGGGAGGCTATTAGTTCGAAGCTGAAAAGGGGTAAACCCCGTGGACTCGTGAGGGGTGGCCCGGTGGATCCCGACGATCTGATATACGATCTCGGGCCAAGGACGCGTGTCATGTGCCGCTAAATTCCTGCGAAGGGCGGTTTTAAACATACGGTTGGCATTTTCAGCCAACCCGTTTGACTGGGACACGTGGGGTGTCGTATGTCGGAGCGTGACGCCCCTTCGCGCAAGCAGTTCTTCTACCTCACCTTTGAATTCAGACCCATTGTCGGTCAGAATTTCTTCCGTATCTAGATGGGTATAGAGAAACCGTTCGATGTACGTGGCTATTTCTGCAACTTTTCGGGTCTTACAGGGATAGATTTCGAAGTACTTTGAGAAATGATCTACTAATACTAGCAGGATAGAATATTCACAGCGGTTTGGGCCAGGTGGCACGTATCGATCTGTTGTGTCCATACTGACTCGCTGGAAATGACGCTCTACTTCCGTCGGTACGATCGTGTTTGGTCCCCGTATAGGGGCGCGATTATCGGCACAGACCAGACAGTTAGCGACAATATATTTGACATCATCTCGTATATTGGACCAGAACCATCGATTCTGATCTACAGTTGTCTCTGTGACACGTATCGCAAAATGAGCGGCCTGTTCTTCGTGAGCAGATCGGATCCAATCATATCTCTGGAATGGATGGGGAACCGTCAACCATGAGCCCGATCCGTCAGTTTTATGTTTTTCCAAATGACCGTTGACCCATCGATAGTCCTGAGATCTCTCGGTCGCCCTACGTCTGTCGTGTTTGGTGAGGTGGCCCAATGATAATCCCGCTAATTTCGCCAATAAAATTTTATCCGTCCAAACCTCCGCTCGTCGGTATTTTTCGTCATATTCAGGGCCGTCCGTACGGGCGGCCTCGAATCGAACCTCCGTGGGGAGTTTGTTTGTTCTACACAGGGGGCACCACTATTCCTTGCTATTCGTTCGATGTCGAACACAGGCTCCGTGCGCACGATTGACACACGCGGCACATTCTACCCAATCAACAAATCCGGTCTCAAAGGGATGACAGTCGACCCCATAAACCCGTGCAATACACGTGCAAAAATAACAGAATTTATCGGGGAGGGTGGCGAAGAAAGCTGAGGACGTGAGAGGGGCAGAATTAGTAGGAGATGAAGGTGTTGCGGAAGCAAGTGGGGTAGTCATGATGACAGAGAAGGAAGGGATGCAGAGAGGGTAAAACAGACCAATTAGTCCTCGTGTCACTTACTGCTTCGACAAGATCTCCACTTGGCCGTACCGAGGTCCGATCTCCTGTTTGGGTTCGTTCCACGGAATCACCTCCTCACTCTTCGAAACTTTCTCGGGTCGGTGCAGTCGTGTCAGTTTGTCTGCATTCCCGTGTCTCTCGTGCTTCCGATGACGAATGTCAAAGTCCATGCTCTACAGCACCGTTGCCCATCGCCCGATCATGCTAGAGTAATCCTTCGATTTCTTCAGAGCAACAGGGGCTCATGATCAGTTACCAAGGTGAACTTTCGCCCGTACAGGTAAGCGCGAAAGTGGCTGATTCCCTAGAGAGCCGCTTAGCATTCCCCCGTTGGAGCGGCGTAGTTGCGCTTGCAAGCTGACACCGATTTGGAGGCATACTCCACCACATTCTCGAGTCCGCTTGGTCCCACCTGGGCAAGGATCGCCGAAATTGCCTCTGGCTGCCAGTCAGTGATGAGAACAAAAGGCTTTTCGGGATCCGGTCTTATAAGGACCGGAGCCGAAATGAGAGCGGCCTTTGAAAAACGCTTGATCGCACTCCGGCGTCCAGATCAACGGTTGATCTTTGCGCAGCAGATTCGTGAGGGGTCCCGCAATCGCCGCGAAGCCCTTGATAAATCTTCGGTAGTACGAGGCCAGGCCCAGAAAGGCGCAAACTTGCATGATATTTATAGGCACCGGCGCATCCCTGACAGCTGCCACCTTCTGTGGCTCCGGCTGGAGTCCCTTGTCTGTCACCACGTGCCCTGGGAAGGAAATGGTGGTGAGAAAAAACTGACAGTTCTCAAGCGCCACCTTGAAGCCCGCATCTCGTAACACATGCAGTGTCCATTCGATGTGTTGCACGTGTCCCTCGTAGGAACTTGAGTACACCAAGATGTCATCCATGTACACAATCACGCAGTAGTTGATGATACTCTGCGCCAAACGAGTCTTCCTCACGAAATTCTGAAAAGCCATGTTCATGGCCCGYTGAAAGGTYGCGGGGGYGTTGCAGATACCCATCGGACATCGAATCCACTGCCACGTACCTTCGAAAAGCACAAACGCTGTTTTCGGAYGATCTTCCTCTCGRACAAGAAGATGATGGAACYCATGRCGAACATCAAACTTGCTGAAAAATCGAGCACTCCCAATCGCATCCAACAACTCATCAATCCGGGGGAGAGGGTACACATCTTTAATCGTGATATCATTCAATTTTCGGTAATCAATACAAATGCGAATCCCTCCGGCCTTTTTAGGCACGATCACTACAGGGAAAGACCATGGACCTATAGCGGGTTCGATCCATCCATTAGCTTCGAACTCCTTAATCCGTTGAAAAGCGGCCGGTCTTTGAGCTGGCGAGTATCGGTAGGGAGCGCAGCTAATGGGCGGATGGTCTCCCGTGAGAATAGCATGCTCTATCACATTAGTTAAGCCGATGTCGTTATCATGTATACTCAATACTTCTGCGTAACCATTTAACACACGGGTTAATGATTTCCGAAGTTCCGCGCGGACGTGACCTGGCAGGGTGATTGTTGATTCCCCTGAAATCTCAAGGGGCATATCGACCCAATGAACCGGCCGTTCCCGCCGATCATGAACACTAGAGAAAACGGAACTACTAGTGCGAACAGAGAAGACAGTTGCTATCATCTGGGACTCAACAGGGCTGATCATCTCTATTTCTTTGGCTTCAACGTCAGTCTGGGAACCAACCGAGGTTGGTTCCATAGTTAGCCCCATTAGGTCGGTCATTTCTTGCAGTAGGTCAGATACATCACTTACCGGTGCTTCCGCCTCTTGTTTAATCAACACGATGGTGTCTCCTGTCGTTAGTAATGTTCTGGGCGGAAAAACAGAAACATCTAAATATTGTTCCGGTTGTTGATAACGCATTCGTAAGGAGAGAGCTCCTTCGTACAAGGTGCGAAGGGGTTCCGAATCATCGGCCAGGTCAAATACTTGTAATATAGGTTCCCCAAACAGGACCGAAGGACTAACTTGAGTTATCGGAGGCGCAAGCGCGCTGCCTCCTGAATCCACGTGGAAACTTCAAGCAGGGTCGGGGCACACTTGGAATTCCTCGGGAATTTCGTGTTCGAAAAGTTCAACCAGGTGCTTCCATTCATCTTCGCTAGGCATCTCTTCTTCGTATTCCTGTTCCCTGATTCCATCACTGATGTGCGAGGGAAAGCGCTCCTCGGGATCAATGCATCGAATCATCCCAATTTGGGCCGAGTTAGGGACCCGTTTTATCGTTCGTGTGGAAACTCGCAAGGGAACAATTTGAGGCTTTCCCCCAGTTTGCGTGAGCACCAATTGTTTCGAATCGAAACGCAGACGTGCGCCCACCGCCATCGCCCAAGGTAATCCCAACAACACCGAATAGGAACGTACATCTATTACGAGCGCGTTAACAAGAACGTGTACTCGTCCGACTTTTACAGCCACGTTCTCGATAATGCCTACGATGTTCATTGCTTCCTCGACGGCAGAGACATAATTGTCTTTGCCAGATTGAGGAAGAATGGATCCAAGTCGTCCCGTCTTTTTGACAGTATCCAATGATATGGCCACGTCAGAAGACCCTGTGTCAATAAGGGCATTAAACGACTTGCCCCAAACTTCACAGTTACATTCCGCACTTTTCCACAATACCGGCCGAGCTCGTACGAAGTGATTTTTTTTGTGCTAAAGAGATCGCTGCTATACGTGCGGCTTCGGGTTCAGGTTCTTTCATGTCAGGCTCGGGGGGTGCAACTTCCTCGCTACCTTCCTTATTCTTCAACATCCGTTGTATGCACTGATAGGTAAAGCGCTTTTGATTTTTCTGGCAATGTTGTAAAAGTTTATCGTTCGCCGCTTTAGATATGGTGAGCAGATGTCCTACTGGGATAGGAACGCGAATATCTAGTTGCTTGAGCGTTTTCAATACATCAATGTCTCCTCTCCGAAACTGCGGTCCAGGATTGGATTCGCGATCGACCCATTCGAGATCATCTGGGGCCGATCGGATCGCTCTGATCATGCCTGCGAGATGAAGATACTCGAGGGGATCGACCACGTCAGCAGCGTCAGAGGAAGAAGCTCCTGAGGTCGACGCCGTTGCCATCGAAGGGGAAGTTTGCTCTGGGGCATACGCCACGAGTTCTCCTCCTTGGTCCGTATCCATAAGGGCGGCCACTCGTGCTTGATTAAGGGCGACAGGGGCCGCAGCAAAGGGAGGCTGATTACGTTTCGGCTGCGGACAGTCCCGGGCGAAATGACCGGGCTGTTTACAGTTAAAGCACTCGATCTTTCCTGCTGGATTAGCTAGATGAGGGAACTGAGGTGCGAACCCTGGAGCAGGCGGGGCAGGTAAGAGTGGAAATGATGCAGGGGCAGGCCGAGCAGGAACTGGGTTAGGCTTAATTAGCCTTCTCATTATCTGTTCTATTCGTTTCATGTGAGCGGCTTGCATTTGGATCAAGTTGCTCACCCATTCGGACTGCTTGGTAGTGGCCGTATGGATCATCTGGGCAAGATGTAAGTTGGTTATGGCCGGCAAGGAGGGTTCGGTTGAGATTCCGCTTTTAACGACTGCGATCGATTGATTCACTGGGGGAGAGGAAGAAGAAGCAAGCGTGGTATTGAAAACGATCCTGCCGGGAAGGTCATGGTCGGGGCGGGGATAAAACCGTTCGACCGCCTGCAGCCATGATCGCCTTTTWGTCGTTACATCCCGTATGGTATCTGTAATGTCTTCGTCTCCCTGGCTGATATACTTTTTTGTATCGGTCAGTTCCAGTTCCAATGCTTTAGTGATGATAGCCGATAACCGGTGTGCTTTTGGCGGGACCTTTTTCTGCAGTTTGCCTTTCAATATAGGACTTCGTAGATGGTCGATGAACAAATCTCGAGCGGATTTCTCGTCTCGCCTGGATTTGTCCAGCGTGGTTTGAAATCGATCGACGAAATCGGGTAACAATTCCCCTGGTCCTTGTGGCCGATTTCTTAGCACGTACCAGGCGGCATCTTCACTGACCGTATCGAATCGAGCCAAGAAGGCTTGCTTGAAAGTATCCCAATCTACCCACGTGTGTTTTCTAAACCAGTCATGCGATGTATTGCGGAGCAGCAATGTCAGAACGTGAGGAAGATCAGTTGCGCTGTAGTTTTGAGCTTCTACAGCTTCCAGCCAAGCCTCGGGGTGGGTATGATCAGGGACGAAAGGGAAGGGGGCGGGGATACTAACGATCACCCTAGTATCGTACACCATCGGTGCTGCGGGTGCAACCGCACCAGATTGAGACCTGGTTACTAAACGATCCCGACGAGCTAGTTAAGGGTCTCTCCTACCTCTCGCCAGTTCGACTTACTATCATCAGAACCGACACGTGTCGGCTCCGATACCAACCTCACGCCCTGTGCTGTCTTTCGTTCGGAGTGTTAGGCGTGCGGAAAAAGGCCCAGAAAAACAGCAAGATGGGGTATGCCAAGGATTTTTGGAAATTGAGTATGGGGACACAGATGGAACTGAAATCCCCCGTGTTGGTCCAATGAAGCAAGTCGATTGCTTTCGCGCGTCGCGGGATGTGCGCGCGGGCACGGCGTGAAAAGAGAAAAATCCAAATTCAATCCAAAAAGTATTGTCGGGCTTCCCACCGAGCTACAGCCCGCCGTTCAGAACGGAAAGGCTTTGGCACGCTCCGCGTGTCTCATTTTCGTATCAAATCTCGTCGTCGTTCGGTGGTCAGTTCCGAGTCCGACGTGGATGGTCTCAGTCGCGTGGCTCTTTCTTTATGCTCGTCTTCACTCCGCACACGGTAGTGGAAACCCTTGGATTCGTAGCGCTCAAAACGTTGGCATTCGGTGCATAGAGTGCACGGCCAGTGGGGTTCTATTGCCGTCCACGGGATGACGATCAACTCGTTGAATGGCAACAATATCGAGTAAGGTGGGAAGTGCGTATCGATAATGACAAACCCAACCTCTACGAACCCTGAACAGCGGTTGGCCGGAGGGAAGTAGTACCGCCCGCCGATCTGTGCGACATCTTCTCGTACGTCCCACTCACATACACGTGTCCTTCCCTCGTTATACGGAAAAGGTCGTGTTGGGACGGCAGGTACGGAAGGCAGGTGCCCGATCGGAGGGTACTGGTCAGTCCACATGTCAATCAATTGTAAAGACCTTGCGACGTCATCCAAAAAAGAAAACACTCGCGCAACTCATAAACAATTTCCTTCAACACGAGAGGGAGAGAGAGAGAAAAAAAACACTTCAACAACTTGATCATGCATATAACTAAGGGACCGATCCGCGACTCAGGTTTAGTGAGCCAGCGCGACGTTGATCTCAGGCGCCTTGTTTCTCGAGGCCGCCTCGTGGTTTGGCTGCTGATGTCGGACAGCATAAGGCAGATGGCATGCACAGTGCACTTAAAGCTACATATCTAAACACTCTTGCATTATCGGACAAAATCTCGACGACAATCGTCTAATCACTGCCAAAGAGACGCGCATTTCCATACATTCATTCACTGTGGAAGATGCGAAAAATGAGAAACACACAGGAAAAGATGGATTGTTTGCACAGTACACACGCATCCACCGTTCAAAGACAAGAAGACGGGGTCCTTGCGCGGGAGGATTACCCAGGAAACTAATGGAAGAGTTCCGGAAGAAGTTCTTTCCCGCAAGGAAAGCATACAGATTCATGCTCATCCAGAGGAGGGAAAGAGAGAGAAGGAGAGAAGCATCGAGACACATCATTATTCAAAGATAGAGGAGAAGGGGACGGAGAGGGGGGGGGAGAGTCGAGATAGGAGATGTCGCAATCCAAAAGAAGGAAGTTCAGCGTTCTTAGAGAGAAAGATCCGCAACAACAAAGGCGCATTCGTTGTTAATTCCAATATGGCCCCGGGCCAATAACTCACTCAACTCCAATCACCGATCCTCA